GCATACCTTTTCTTTTTGCATTTAGAGCAGAGGCGAGTTGAGTTGCTGAATGTACATATTTTGAAAAGAGCCCGTGACGAAATGGTCGAAAAGGCCATGACAGAGCTAAAAGGAGATGAAGAATTGAAGGCAAAGTGGTTGGTCTGTTTTCAAAAGAAGGACATTCACAAGCACAAGGTAGTTGTCAGTTGTCTACAAAATGCCGTTTGCCTTAATCCAATAATTTCCCTACCTTTTTCTTCACACCCACTTATAATATAGGCAGCGAAAGGCACTGGAAACTACAAGTCACATCAAAGTGGCGTCTACTGCCTTATCTTGTGGCTTGAAAACTTGACCGGATGAGGGATCACAAATCGTCAATAGTTAATTGGTTACTGACTGGTTAATAGCAGTTAAGAAATCAAATGTAGTCTTTATTTTTAAAAGTAATTTATAGTGATGATTTTTCTCAACAGGAATTGATTGAGAAGCTTCTGGCGAGCGTGTTAATGTATTACATTAACATGGGAGCATCGCAGTTCCTCAGGGACTTCAGAAGAGAATCTTATATCCAGAAAAGTGTGGAACTACGAAAGCGGGTTTTACAAAGGAAAGAAAGAACTAAGGAGAAATCAGACAGTGTATCATTTCAGGTATTTCTTTTAATAAACTTTTTAACACTCTCTACGAGTTAAAATAATCTAGAGTTAACGTATATAAAAATACAACTGCGTCAGGAATTTTCGACGAAATTTCAGTGATATTTATTATTTCATGTAAAAGACTAGGCAGAAGATTGCGCCTCTATTGTAATATTTTAGGGCTCCCCCCTACCCATCAAATAGCCTTTTGCTTAAAATGGCAAGTATGTGGTCAAATGTACAAGTTAACGTTGCAAGCAATGTTGAAACTGCATCTAGCTCTTTCCCGTTTCAAATCTGATGCTTTTGTGAGAATGAAAATATATTTCCTTAACAAAAAAACAGAATGGCTTATATGCAGGACCTACAAACTGTTTTTCATGCAGAATACCGTATCTGATGTAGTAAGATATTTAGTCGATAATATATCCAAAAATTATTAAGGTAGTAGTTTCAACTGCCTATTTTTTTTTTTAGGATATTCTCAAGGACCGGAGTGAAAACAAGAAAGTGTCTCATGGTCGTCTTGTTGCGTTCTTACATCAGCACCAAGGTAATGCTTCACTGGCAAGAGTTTACAGCAAGGCGCAGTTGGTTTCCCTTTGCGAAGCATATGATTTGAGATTTTCTGCAAGGTCATCAAAATCAGTTCTTGCAGAAGCACTGTCAAATGCCATTAGACAGTGTGCGTATGTCCCATTAATTTCGTCAGTGGACGACAGAGTATTGCGGGTAACAGAAAGCACTGAATTAGATGGACATATAAGGATAAGGATTGCAAGAGGTATGGACTATAATAATATAACTTAATATTTAATAGTTGCTGTATGCGGGAAAACTGAAAATAAATGTTATGTTTTCTTGTCGCCGAAGAGCAAAGTTTTCATAAAATTGGACACCACAGGCCACAGTGCTAAGAGCACAGCCCTGTACATTTCTATATTTTTAGATTTCCCATCGAGAGAATTTTATACTTTTAGTATTGAAGGAAACAGGAAAAACTCCTAAGAGATGCTAACACGTAAATGCATGGCACTCTATTACATAACTATTCCTTTAATTCATGTCCTCTTGCGTAAGCAGTTGCTGTTACAGGATGCATTGCTCTTTGAACTGATTGTTGTTTGCCCTA